AGATACTTCCTGATGATTTGATTTTCAAAATAGATTTAGAATTATCTGAGTGATGGGAGTCCTATGTTTTTATTTAAATTACTAAACAAATTTGGTACATTAAGAGTGATCTGCTTTTGTCTTCATTACATGATAACCTGCAGTAAATTCTGTAGAAAAAAAAAAAATAGGACCTGGGGCAGATGCTACAGGCAAATCTAGGGGGTCATCACTATACTTTTTAAAAAATTTTAAGCTTTTCTAGTTATCATTTTGTAATTATAATTGTCTTCATTATGCACATGGCACTTAACATATGCAGGTTGGTTTTATAATTTATACAAATATATATCTGATCTCCAATTTCCCAATTGAATCCACAATTCCTTACGTACGAGGTTTTTGTTTATAAGTGTTTGCATGCCCTGACCTGGCACAATCCGTATCAAATTCCCTAGAAATGGATATAGCTAACATTCTTTCACCCAAGGAAAGTGTTCAAAGCTTCCATATTTCTCAGATACTTTCTAATGTTTAATGTTTTTTTTTTTAACATTTTATTTATTTATTCATAAGAGACACACAGAGAGAGAGGCCGAGGGAGAAGGGAGCCCGATGCGGGACTTGATCCCAGGACTCTGGGATCATGACCTGAGCGGAAAGCAGACGCTTAACCATCTGAGCCACCCAGGCACCCTCTAATGTTTAATGTTTAAATAAATGCAGCAAACTTTCACACTTATATCACCGATGTTTGTGGAAGTTTCTTTGATTTTCAGTGAACTTTAGGGGGTTTCTTTGGTTTAGATAAAATTTTTTTAACATTTTATTTATTTATTTGAGAGAGAGAGACACAGTGGGAGAAGAAACACAAGCAGGGGGAGCGGGAGAGGGAGAAGCAGGCTTCCGCTGAGCAGGGAGCCTGATGTGGGACTCGATCCCAGGACCCTGGGACCATGACCTGAGCCGAAGGCAGACACTTAATGACTGAGCCACCCAGGCGCCACTGGTTTAGAAATTTTTGATAGAGCACTTGCATATAGATGCCTGTAATGTTATCTGAACAAATGAAGTTGATATTTTAATGAGAACGTGTGCTTTGCAAGCAATAAACTATTTCTCTATGGCTTTAAACATAGGATATGCTTTGTAAGTTACAGGAATTGCCCAATGAGATCTTTTGTTGTCCTGGGATTCTGTTGTGGTAACTAGTAGGCTTTTGACATGGGGTTTGAGGGCTTTTCTCTTTTGGGGGCAACTTGTGGTAGAGCAGAAGGAGACTGGAATTCATTAATTTTGCACACGATCATAGCTGTGTCCTTCAACAAATAAAAGTAAGTGAAATAGGCTCCAGGAACTCTCACCTCCAAAAATCCAAGGATAACAAAGACATATTGAATCTGCAGTTTTATAAGAGCGATGCTGATTGATCCCTTCCCTCTTAGGAATCTGAATTATAGGTGATAAGCCTAGGTTTTGCCCTTTTCCCATAATTTAACATACCTTGAGGTAAGACATGTTTGATTGAGGTTGCCTTAAGATAGCACAAATTCAAGTCATTGTGTGACTTCAGTAAGATTACGTTTATTAACCCAGGTTACCCATGATGACGGTTTCTAGGCCAACAGCATGAAATGAGGTTTTTTTTAAACCAAAAAAAAAGTATATTGTTGCTATTTCACAGAAAGAATTATTTATGTGTTAATTCTACCTTACTCATCCAGTTGCTATTCTGAATAGCTGCACGCTGGCTCTCTTTTTCTCTGCTACATTCTCATAGTTGCTTACTCTCTGCCTGCTTTGACCCTTTCCTCCCCCTAATTAAAGTTAACAGTCCGTGAAAATTTTATGTTTTTATTAGGAATAAAAATTCATAATTTTACAAAGAAACCTATCTGAAATAAAAAGAAATAAAGTGGTAATATACTCAGAAGTTAAAAACAAAATAACGCTGTTACTAGTTTAGGAAGGAAAAGCATCAATTAATTAGCTAAATAATTAATTTAAAATGTGCTTACCATGGATTTTGGTATCTGTGGCTTATTTTATCAATAGTGGCTTGACTTAGTTCTCCACACTGTAAAAGAAAGAAAACCAATGTAACCATTCCGGGGTAAATTGGCACCAACATGTCTAACAGTCTATATTCCTAGTCCAAAAGGAAGTCAGGCTGGGAAGTTAAATAGGAGATGGTAAATACAATTAAAAGAACATAGCCTTCTGATTCTTGAATTGAGGAAAAAAATGCAAGAAGTAAAATAAGTATGATCCTGTGTGCTTTATTTCCCCTCTCTGTACAAGAGAGATAGTAGTAGCAGGAAGAGTATAGCCCATAGTCTCAAAGCTCCTTTCTGTTTTTATGATTCTGTCTGTAAATGAGCGGGCATTCTTAACCACAGTTCAGACTCAAACAGTCTAGCTCTTTTTATTTCACCTTATTCTCACAGAATTAGCAAATGTGGTGGCAATAATGTAGGAAAGAGCTGGGTTATAGGCAGCCTGTGGTAAAGTGCAGATCTGAAAACTCCTTTCAGAAAGCATAATTTAGAACATGGATAAAATACTTGTAGCTTAGGACCGGTTCCCACATAAAAAAATCCCCACACTCTCTCATGTACATTGAAATGATCTATTATCACTCAACAAATGACCTTTCTATATGGGCTCTTTACCCCAGGAACTAGCCAATTGATGGCACATCTTATGAATAAGCAAATGGGAATAGAGGCATCAAATTTATATTGGAAAGGGTTTCGGTTTATAATCATTACTCAATTTTCTATACTTGGGTTGGGAAATAATGATCTGGATTATCAAAATATTTCACTTCAGTTTTGGAATGCATTTTTCACTTACATTGATGTGGGATGCTATATTCATAACATCTCGGAAAGTAGCAAGATTGTATTATAATTTCAACATCAGAGGAAATATTTAGTACTTTTTTTTTTTAATCCTCCCCTTTTCTTCCTTTTCCCTTAAGCTTTACTTTAGGACTTTCCTGATCAAGTCCTTCAAGAGTTATTTGTGTTGGGAAAAAAGATCTATTTACTTGTCATCTTCTCAGAGATGAAGTTGAAACCTTGATCACTTCTAACTCTGTAATATTCATGTATAAAATACATAAACAAAGGAAGGGTCGAGAAAAATAAGGTTTAAATGCAAGGGTGGCCCATTATTCCATAGAAAATTTGAAAAGTAGTAATCTGTATAGATAATGGTATAACTTTCTCAGTTATTTCTGACATGTGATTCCCTAAAAATTGATCTGACTTATAAATAATTTTGTTATCAGCATTTTGACAAATTTACCAGGAATTGGACAATCTTCTTTGATCTTTGTTCCCGTTTTTAAAACTCAGAAATTGCATCGTCTTAATCTGGAAAGACTTTTATTAGAAACAAGCAACAGATTCTTTTGCTATCCCCCTTTTGTCCTTTAGTTATCAGTGTATAATATCTTAAAAAATTTACCTAAAATAAGCTGTCAATTTATTAATGAAATCCATCACAGTTTATTTGGATAATCGTGCTGCCTGTGGTGTTAAATCTAATGAAATTCAAAATCAAAAAGATCTTTTTTTTTTTTTACTGGTCAGTTGTTCATAAGAGTAAAGAAAAGACTGAATCAAAACCTAACTCAACATCTTCATAGAAACAGGTAACAACAGATTAGTACAGTCTCTGTCTTGAGGAAATCAGTTACTTTGAATGTTTTAACTAGCACAAATAATCATAACTCAAAAGGGGGTATTTCCTATTAAGTAATCTTTAAAGAAGTCTAGGCATTACTAAAAGGGAAATATCTGCTAACTACATTCAGGTACTGTGAATTAGATACGATTTCTGAAATGAGTTAAAACCTGTTCAATTTGAGTTAATTGCAGGCATTTGGGGCTCATTCTCGTTAACAACGGAAATCATTGCTTAATACTTTCACTTTTAATCTCAAACCACTTCTAGTGTAGTCCTGCCATACTTAAAAAATCTTTTTGGGACTGATCGTTGAGGAATCCTCTTGCTTTTTTACTGTATGTGAGTCAACATGCTTTTCTTAATATAGCCAATATTTATGTTTGTATGTATATATGTATGTATGTATTTAACTAGAAAGAACTATTTTCCATCTCTGTAACTATGAGGTCTTTCTTACCAGTAGAATGAATACAATGGCAATGCATTTCAAGAATGCATAGACACTAGGGTTTCTCTTCTCTCTCCTCCTCCTTGGTAACATAGAGCTCTTAGTACCAAACATTTGAGTGGAAAATTCCCTAAGGCTACCTTTTCTTATGCTAATGTATTTTTTCTTCACTTGCCTCAATTTGCAAAATATTACTGTTAACCCGTTAGGTGTCCTTCTTCCCACAGCCTATGAGAAGCATTCTCATTGTTGTAGCTGGATCACCGAATTGCATAATGTTGCCTATTCTAGACTGGAACTATTGAAGGGAGAAGGGGGCATAAAGGCCTTTGTATGAATGGCGCATTTGAAGTATTCATTTTATATTCAGAGCATGAGTAGAAACAAAACAATTCTTTCTGAAAAATGTCAGTATTTAAGGCATGGATTCTGTGATGCATTTTTTTGTATTAAAATGCAAAAAATGAACAATGCAGAGACCCATACTTAATTTTTTGCTACATTATATACGGGCTTGAGTTCCAACATAAATTATATCCTGGTATCTCTTTTTTTAACTGCAGTGTTTTTAAATAATTTGAATTAATACATCAACTTTCAGCAAATAGATTAAACATTGGGTTTTATGAGTTTGTTGACTATGGCCCCAGCATCGCTGTTTTCTGGGCAGTATCCAAATAATGAGCAACATATTCCATCATGTTTCTAATGTGCTTATAATAATATAATTCAAAAATCCATGCAGGCAAGAAAATACAGTATATATAAACACTAGTGATACTGGATCCCATTTATTGAGACATTATTCTAGATACTATGATAAGAGCTTTACACACTTATCTCACTTAATCCATTTAACAATACTCTAAGATATTATTATTATTATTATTATTATTATTATCCCTACGGTAGGCAGAATTCTTAGATGATGCCCACTATTCTCATCCCTTGGTGTATACACCTTCTCCTAGATATTCCACCAAATACTGATCTAATTACTGTTATGAAGGGATTTTGCAGCTGTAATTAAGACCCTAATTCAGGTGAATTTAAGAAAGGGAGATTATCCTCAGTGGACCTTCCTTAATCAGGTGAGCTCTTAAAAGGATCTAGGCTCTTCCTGGCAAAGGGGATTTGAAGTGTGAGAGGCATTTGATATGGGGGAGACTGTGCTTTTTTTTTTTTAAAGATTTTATTTATTTATCTGAGAAATAAAGAGCATGAGATGGGAGAGGGTCAGAGGGAGAAGCAGACTCCCCACTGAGCAGGGAGCCCGATGTGGGACTTGATCCTGAGACTCCACGTTCACGACCTGAGCCGAAGGCATCGCTTAACCAGCTGAGCCACCCAGGCACTCTGTGTGCTGGTCTTAAAGATGGAGGGGGGCTCCGTGGTAAGGAATGTGAGCAGCTTCCAGATGCTGAGAAGGGCCTGCCACTAAGAGCGAGCAAAGAGGTGGGACCTCAATCCTACAACCACAAGGAACTGAAATCTGCCACAACCACATGAACTCAGAAAAGACAGCAAGCCTCAGATGAGATCACAGCTCCAGCGGACACCTTGATTTCAGCGTTCTGACACCCAAGCAGAGAACCCAGCCATGTCTTCCGGGACCTCTCACCTACAGAACTATGAATAAATAAATGGGTGCTGCTTTAAGCTGCTAAATTTGTGGTAATTTGCTATGCCCAGTAGAAAACTAATACAATCCCCATTTTACAGATGGGAAAACTGAGACATTATAAAAAATAGGCAGCCTAGCATGCAAAGGGAGAAAAAGGGGGATATGAAAAGTTCTTCAACTGGCTACTTTCACTTATAAAGTCACATTCAGTTTTTCACTAAAACCACGAACATAGATTTGCCCTGAAAAGCATTATGAACGTTAGTTGCCCCATTTATTCTCAGAGAGAAGGCAAATATCTTGTTATTTTCTCCCCATACTTCTCCAGGACAATAAATGTTCTCCTTATTCATTCTCTATTCAAGATACCCAAGGATTTTCTTTTAAAGCAAGACTAGAACTTGTTCTGTTGGGAATCGTTAGGATTTGTGATAGTAATCATTCTACTATCAGCCCTTTATCCAGAGTGGGTTGATGATCCAGGGTCTGATATCTGCACAGAGTCAATTATTGGAGCTACAGAGAAGCTACACAAGAGCTTCCCAACTCTCTGTTTGTGCTCAGGGCATAGTTTCTGAAATAGAATCAAGTACGTGTTTTGCAAGTGTTTTCACCCTTGGAGTTTTCTAATGTGTTGGCACTGTTGTTAATTCAAAGGTTAAAAAGTGTGCTTCTCCCAAGTTAATTGTCCAATTAGCTTTACAACACAGAATTACACGAGGGGTGGCAGCTCAGGCTGTAAGAACAGTTACAGTATAACTAAGTCTCAGTAAAAAAAAAAAAAAGATGGTAAATAGTTTTCAAATGCCCATGGAGTAAGCTAGGAGTACAACAATTCTCAATCGAATGCACACTTAAAACTTCATTTCTTCCCTTCTGCAACTTGGTCTCTGCACAAAGACACTGCATGAGAAGTGAAGCCATCTCCACGCCCATCTCTCATTACTTAGTGATAATCATCTATACCATGCTAAGCAGTAGGGAAGTGGTGTTGATGTTGTCAGTACAAAGTTAAATGAAAGAGATCTCAGACCTCAAGTTGCTTAAAACAATTTAAAATGTGGCACCTGCACCCCAATGTTTATAGCAGCAATGTTCGCAATAGCCAAACTAGGGAAAGAGCCCAGATGTTCCTCGACAGATGAATGGATAAAGAAGAGGATACACACACACACACACACACACACACACAGTGGACTATCACTCAGCCATCAAAAAGAATGAAATCTTGCCATTTGCAACAACACGGATGGACCTAGAGGGTATTATGCTGAGCGGAATAAGTTAGAGAAAGACAAATACCATAGGA